AGAGATACTAATTGATTTTATATGTATGATGCTTCTAAAGTAAAAAGTGTCGAAAATTAAATGATACGTAGATATACCTATCCTATCGTGGATAGTGACAAATGATGCAGCGTGCTTAAAGATTTTCTTAAGATAACTAATTCATATAAACGGATTTATGTGAAATTTGGTAAACTGAAAAATAATACATATTAATGCTCATAACATTAATTATCGCAAGTTTTAACATTTTCAGAGTGATATTTAACTTTTAGACAAATGTTTGCTTTTCATATCGTTGGTGAACTGTAAACTTGTTATATAAATATCTTTTCTTTTTATTTTCAATCTTTCTGTCTGTTCGCTTGTTTTATAACAACATTTGTCACACCGCAATTAGGCATCTTGTTGATAAAAAGTTAAGTTATGTTATATTATTAAATACTCTGTAATGTAAACGTGAATGTGTATCAACGTGTACTTCATTTTGTTGAAAGGCAATGATATTTTGACCATATGGTCGACTTTGCAAAGCAACGGACTGTGTCGTTAAAAGGTCTATATTATACATAAACCTTCTCAGCTTGAGCTGACTTACAATTTAATTATTATATTGATTCACTTGTCGATTTAAAGACATTTATAAGGCATTTATTTCTGATATTTGGAAGTCCTGTTTATATATAAACCGAATCTTGTAAAAATACATGTTATGGAACTATTGCTTAAAACACATGGCAATAAACCATATACTCGTTAGGAAGAGGCTTGTATAATGTTAACTTAACCGTATCATGAATGAATTGCTTCCAATACAGGTATTGTTTTCATTTTCTTATGCATGAACGAAATAATTTGTGATAAATACATCGAGTTGTCAATACTTCTTTATTAATCATTTTCCTTTCCTAATTTAAAAGGAAATAATACTGCTAATATTATTTTCAAATATTAAGAAAAAATACGTTTAAGTTTTTACTGTCACTTTCGAGTTAGTCAAATAATATCGAGTTAGTTTCGGTTATCAATAATATGAGTGGTATCTAATTTCAATTAGCGATGTCGAAATTCTGGAAACAAAGTGATCCCTCGGAAGCATTAATCAAAGTTAACTCTATTTAAAAAGAAGAACGCCTTCGGTTTAAATATGTAATTTAAGCCCGTTTATGACAGTGCATGAAAACACCATGAGGTCAAAGGCTTGTAAGAACAAGGTATGTCTAATTATTACCTTTGATTGTGATCATCGTTATGTCTTGCGCAAAGGCATCTTTAAAGTTTTAACCTTGCATGCTGCAAAACATTATAATAATGACTCAAGCCTTTTAACAATTGACTCGCTCTAATATAATTGTTCTTAAATATATCGATAAATAGAAAACAAGTTAATATATAACCAAACTTCTCCAGAGACTGTAGAGTCAGGAAAGTGCTTTACCTCAGTGTTGATATACTTGTCTAGACTTGCTGAAACTTTGATTTCATCACGTTAAGTATTGCAGATTGAGCATGGCTTAAGTCAGTGCTAGATGGCGTAGAAGTAGTAGCCACTACTGAAGCGAGGCCTGAACTTTTAAAAATATAATTCTGTTGTATTTATCATTTCCGAGGTGTCGACACTTTTCCAGTGTTTTTACTTCACAAAACCTGCTGTAAAGTGCCATGTGACAGCTGTAAAAAGTAGTTCACGTCAATTTTGCTACACTGAAGATATCGTTCTGGCCTGGTCGAGATTATAGAGCTGTCTAACTCATTTACTGAGATAGGGCACAAAATGGGCGCAATTAAATGAAACTCTTCTAATATGTTACAAGAATAACTCACAAACAGTTCTGGATGGTTTGGGGTATTTAATTTTTTATTCTCTCACGATTTAGTGCACATCGTTGATACTGTTGCCAATTTAAATACTTGTGACTGCGGGATCGTTTTAGACGCATGTTCATCTTAACAATGTTCGTTAGATTGGGACTAGGTCGTGGTGTTCTATGAAAACGCACGTGCTTTCTGATTTGAAAGCCGAATGATCATTTTGTCATCACAAATAATCATGACATTTTGAAGACATGGTGTTTTACGGTAAACTCCACAACTATTTGTACAACCTCTGGCAAATGCGTCAGGAAATTGATTTCTATTTGCTAATTGGTTAAGAGGGTTGTTTCCTTTGCTTGTAAGCGAGTTGTAAGAAGTATAAATAAAACATATTTGCGTGGAAAAATATAGCCCTAACGTTTTAAATAGATGCAAGTACATATGTTAAAGAATTTGGAATACTTTAACATTACAAAAGGCCGTTCTACGCATTAAAACATTTAAAATCACAATGCAATACTTCGATTATCGGACGATACATAATTGCATTATCATAATCAGTTTGTAATGATAAAATAAATTTTTATTTTTGAACAAGCAAAACTAGTTAAGATACACGGCGCAGCAAATAGCATGGATAATTTCTTTAAGTGTCTTGTTGATACTGCACATCATATAGTCACATAAACTTGTATCATGTATATTCTAAATACTAATATGCAGCGTAAAATAGATTAATTGTACACGCATATTCAAGCATTAAACCATGCCTTTGAACTAGCCGTACTAAAATACTTGAACTATAAAATAAATCCTAGAACAACTAAAGGTTTGCAGAATGTGTTACATTTATGAAAATTGTAATTGTAATTAAAGTTATCAAATTGTTATTGCATGCTCACCACCTGCATATCCTAACATGCTGTAGTGTAGATGCTCTAAATAACTTGCAACAATAATTATTTACATGCCAAAATTCCAACAAAGACAGCAATCTTAATGCACTCTTATTGTGAGGTTATGCTAATGACGTATTATCTTTGTCAGTATGTTATTAGTATTTCAGACAGGCATTCAATCATTGGGTAACGCAAGATATTACTCCCCTGAAAGATACCGCTATTAACACAGTTAAAAAGTTGTTGGGGTTATGTAGACGAAACTTACTTTTTATGAGAACCATTGTTTACCTTAAATTAAATAAATCATAAAAAGTTAAATCTAAAAATCTACAAATGAATGTTCCGATCATAAAAATATCTGTTCCTTTAATGACTTTACACAATTAAAAAGTAAATACTTATATTGCAGTTAAATCTTTAGATTGTTCCAAAGAAATATGTAACCATTAAATGATATGGGCATCGTTTTTTTCCATAAATGCAATACAATACAAGAAGGTCGCACATGACAACTATCTGAATTTAAAATTATACAAATTCATAAGTATTAAATATGCAAAAGGAGAACAATGTTTTAGTTCATGCTACCATCAAGTACGGAATCAATAATGTTTAATTAATATCATACTAGTAGTTTTAACGCCAACATTTATAGATGTTTTTGCTAAACTTACATGACCAAATAAATGCACGCTTCAAAATCAATTGAAAAAAGTATACATTACTTGATAAATGGACGTTACTCAATTAAATGTGAACTGAAAATTCAAACAATAGATCTTTCGGGCGATTAGATAAACATATTCACCATTATGTAAGTAAGGGTATTACAGAGCAAACCAGGCATTGAAATATATATTTATTTCTAAAAGTGTGTTTATAATATAAATGAGTAGTTTTAAAAAATCAGTGTTAATAGTAATAACAAATAGTATGCCGGACAAGAGATACAAAACACTTGAATTTCACAACTAGAGGTTAACAAGTACTCATTCACTTTTGACACTTAGTGTTTGCATGTTTTCGGTGATACACAAAGTTTACAAGCATACGCATTTCCTGAATTAATCATTTTTGGAAAGACAATATAGCAATTAAGAAATATACCCTTTGACAATATCAAATAGTGACACCTACATTCACATTATGTAAGGTCATCAATAATAGCTTATTTTTAAAAAATACGCATTGGCATTTGAATTATTGAAATATTAAACAGTGTTAATGGCGAGTGATATAATGGACTATAACAACGATATTTTATATTTCACATTTAATTCTAGAACAGGCTACACATAATTCTAAATTCACCTCAGATGTCATATACAATCTTTTCTATTTTAGATAAATGATAGTTCTCACCAAAAGTCAATTTCGTCCCAATAACACACCGTATTTTTCAATAATATTATATTAAAGGAAAATAATATCTTCAGTCTGTGATCTAGAGATGAGAAGCGTTGTCTGAAGTACAGTACTTTTAACATACCAGCAAGATTATACTTAATTCGAATACACCGGAATAAGAGTACAAAGAGATTCTACCTTATGTTTTGGTTTTAGGTATTTCATATTTCAATTTAGAGAATCTGTTTCAAGTAGCTAGAATGCAATTCCAATTTAATAACTTCCAACATTGTTCTTTTCTGTACGAATTATTTTTAAAACTTAATTTCTATGGGTTAGCTTCAGTTATGAGCTACTTTATAAAGGATTTATGTACGGTATTTATCAACTTATTTTTTTGTGTTTAGTTCAAATAAAAAGTTATATGTTTAAATACAAGTTTTGAACTTAAAAATAAGCTATTCTTGTAGAATATGACTACAAAGTCAAATTCGATTTCGCTCGTTTGAAGCAATATTGTTACGCCCCCTTAAAAGTGAGAAAAGGGTGTTAGCTTAAAGCTAGTCAGGATTTAAATATATGCCAGGCGTTAATAAGGGGAAAGTAACATGTGTGGGAGTTAGATTTGGTTCTACCTACTGAGAGATAAATAAGACATGTTCCAGTTCAATCTATGATTTTATTATTGGTTCATGATAGTTTATTCATGAAATATTCACATACAATAGAGTATTAGTTAATCTGGCTTTAACCAGATTGTTCTATAGTAAACAACTGAGCTTATTAGAGAAACATATATGTAGATCTAGTACTATAATATAATATCCGAGTTCCAAGTATATAGTTAATTATAGATTTACCAGATTGGGTCAAGTCAGAATCCGGTCAAGTTCCAGATTGGGTCAAATACCAGATTGGGTCCAGTTCTAAAAATGGGTTCAAGTTAAGTTTATAATACCAACTTTAGAGTTATATAAAATTGTATAAAGATCCCAGATCAGTGACAGGTTAAATGTTTATAATTATATTTGGGTACAAACCTCCTGATTGGAGTACATTTCTTACGACTGGTTGGTAAAGATCTTAATGCCCAACTGAGTATGATAGGTTAACCCAGTAGCTTAAATAGAATAGGAGCGCGCGACCCAGTACTTGTGACGTCACTCGCTACCCGAAGTACATCGTGGTGAACGGTGAAGACTACTTGGAACTCGTATATCTCAATAAATACAGAGAGTTAAAAGCTAAAATCGGTCTCAAAATGGAGCTAAAAATTAGTATGATCGACAGAAAACAAAAATACAGGTTGTCAATCAGTATTATTCGTGAAAACATCGATAAAGCTTGGACTAGATCGGGATCATGAGACGCTTGACGAGACGGCAAACAATTCCATAAAATAAAAGCGTCCCGTGACTTTGTAAGACACAATACACAATTTGACATGTTCATAGCATTGCCCTCCCCCCTAAAGGATTGGTCTCCAATTAAGCAGGACAAGAAAGAATAATTACACCAAAAGACCAGTGTATTACAAAAGGTACAGTTAACTTTTCTTAAATACTTTGTAATGTAAAAATGCATGACATAAATAATTAATTTCTAAACAATTTAATTAATTGACATAAATAATTTAACTAATTAATGCTTAGAGTTGTAACATAATAGACTAGAACTGGATTCAACTTAAATAACAATGTATAGGTTTTATTCAACAATTAACAATTTAATTCACACATGCATTCCAATTACTCTAATTACATGTTAATAAATAATTTTATGAACATACAATTTTTTTTTTAAACACCTATATCATAAACATATAATTTATATTACAGATGTACATTATGTTAGATGTTGAAAGTATTTACATCCAAGAAATAATATGATAAATATAAAAAAATAATGACCATCAACATTACAATCTACAATTAACCAACATCAGGTAAGTATTAACTTGTACATCTATTTCATTAATGAATTATATAAACACATATATACACATATTCACTTGTACATCTTTTCATTAATAAATTATATAAACAAATATACATAAAGTCTCACTTACATATGGCATCTTCATAACTGCATAAATAAATGATTAACACTTGTAACAATTTATAACTTCAACATTAACTTAAGTAATAAACAAAAGTTTAGCAAATTTACTAAATTCTAAACTTTATGAATTAGTCCAATTTTACATAAATGCCATGTCTTCTTAGTGAATAAACATTTCACTAAGCAATATAATAATTTCATCAGAGCATAACATTTTAATAACAACATGTGACATTTAATTATAAAACTATTTAACTATCAGTCATACCATAGACTACATCATTGCCCTAATGTTCTCTTAGTTAATAAATATTTCAATAAGCAATACATGTATAATAATCTCAACAGAGCATATAAAAATCAACAACATTCATTTACATACCCATCAATCATACCATTTGTGTTATAAAGGAACACAAAATTTGTGTTCTTGCTTAATTAAGAAAGTACTACACATACATGTAGTATGTTAAAAATTATTTAATCATAAATATATGAAAATTCCTTAACGGTTATTTATTATTTAAGGTATTTCCTGTCAATAATATTTGCTATTAACTTATGCAATAACAATTCAATATAATAACTCAATACTTACTATGTAAACTATGCTAATGAAAATTTACAATTTGTTTTTTATTGTTTAAAGCTACTGTTTAAAAACATTAATGAAAAATTCTTTACTTACTTCAATAGGTACAAATGAAATGTGACTGTTAAGCAATAAAGAGGAAAAATCCTACACATCATTTGAGGAAAAATTAAGGTATTGTATACATATAATTTTTAAGTAATGATATTTAAGTTATATACTTAATGATTAATTACAATCTTCATCTGTTCTTCTTCTGTATCTTGGGTACATTTTCATATATATATTCCACGCGAAATTACATGTGAAGAACACATGACATATCTGTATAATTATAATTCATTTTCTGATATTTTCTTTGGTGTTTACATGTATTAATTAACATGACATTTCTTTTTATTTAATTCAATTTCTGATATTTACTTCTGTTACTTGATGATGATATCTGGATATGACTTATCTTTTATTAATTTCAAAATAGTCCGATTAGTTTTTCTCTTTTTTCTGTAGCTATTTTCAACAATTTTAGTAGACCATAATATTTACACTCAAGAATTAGTTCTTTCAGTTCTATTTTGTTGTTTGGTAACAGAGAAGCTGGTGTAAGTTCACCTTGTCGGGTATATCGGAGATGTTGAAGTATTGTCCTGAAATTTTTACTGTCCCGATCAATATATATTTCTTCATTATCAATCTGTATTGCGATATTTTTCAGCAAGCTTTCTTCCGCACATAGCGTTCCTCTTGTTGTAGAATATTTTATACCTCCTACATTCAAAATTATTATTTCTTGGTGTTTAATTTCCTCGAGTTTCTTCTTCATTTCTTTTTCTGTTTTTTCTGTTTCCTTATTTTCAACTGTTTTTTCTACTCTTTTCTTTGTCATAATTTTCTCTTTTCTTTCTCTCTCCAATTTTTCTCTTTTCTCCTTCTCTTTTTGTTCATTATCTAGCCTTTCTTTTTCTTCTTTTTCTCTTCTTTCATTTTCTAGCCTTTCTTTTTCTTCTCTTTCTCTCTCCAACTTTTCATTTTCTATTCTTTCTTTTTCTTCTCTTTCTCTCTCCAACTTTTCATTTTCTATTCTTTCTTTTTCTTTTCTTTCTCTGTCCAACTTTTCATTTTCTAGCCTTTCTTTTTCTTTTCTTTCATTTTCAAGTCTTTCTCTCTCCAACCTATCATTTTCTAGCCTTTCTTTTCTTTCATTTTCAAGTCTTTCTTTTTCTAACCTCTCTTTTTCCAACTTTTCTCTTTTCTCCTTCTCTTTTTGTTCATTTTCCTCTCTTTCATCTGTTCTTAATTCTTTTTCTATCACGTCTGTAGCCATTCTTATTTCTTCCCTTTCCTTTTGCCTCATTTCACTAATCCTTCTTTCATTTTCTCTTTTTCTTCTTTGTTTTTCTCTTTCACTGATTTCAATTGTATTATTCTCATCACAAATCTCTCCCACAACAAGGGCTTCTAATGTCGCCATTTCTATTTCAGAAGAGCGTGTGGAAGATGACGTAGAAGATGATGATGACGAAGATGTTGTTGATGTTGCAGAAGATGATGATGACGACCTTGATGATGATGGTGATTTACTTCTTACTCTTTTTTCATTTGGTGTTACAAAGTCATTTTTTCTTTTTCTAATGTATAATTGTGGTCTTGTTGCAATTCTTTTTGTGGGCGAATGATTTTCTTTGTTGTATCTATTATCAATTATTAATTCATCTATCTTTTTAATAAAGTCTTGAAGACAGGCTTCGGCCTCAGCCCCACGTTGGCCAGTGGTTGTATGAAATCGAATGAAGTCTTCCCTTCTTGTATGACACGACTGACCTGGTGTGTTTCTCAAAAACACTTTACCACACCTTGTACATTTAAAGTTTATCTTTGAGTGCTGTTCAATTAGGTGAGCTCTACATTTACCCTTAGTAGTAAAGTGCATGTCTCCACATGTACGACATGTAAACCGTTTCTGCAAGAAGACAAATACAACAATTTTAGTTATTAAAAAAAATGTTTTAGCTTCATGTATACCATATTTATTATATATTTATATATTTACAGATTAGTGAGAACCTGATTTGTTTGTGGAAACATAAGGTATCAAAGTAAGTATATCATTATTTCATTGTGTTCTGAACTTATTATTAGCTGTCATAAGGCTTCAATTTATCCTTATGCACAACACGCGGTTTCTCTCTAGAACCACCCTGAATGCGGAACAGGATGTCACTTATTTTAGTTACTATTACATAAGGACCTTTCCATGGTCGTGTAAGTTTACCACTGCGACCAACTTTTCTCTGAGGATTGTAATACCATACACGGTCACCCTCGAAATACTGTATTTGATGACTATTTAGATCATATTTCTTTTTCATGGCATCACTAGAAAGTGAAAGCCTCGTTCGAGCAAATTCATGAACTTGAGCTAGCCTAGACTCAAGTTGAGCTACATAATCTAATCCATATTTTGGTTTTGTTTCAGTTCGATCTATTTCAGGTTTGCCAAAGACTAAATCAATTGGAAGTCGAATTTCAGAGCCAAACATCATGGTTGTTGGTGTGACACCAGTTGACTCGTGCACAGACGAACGATATGCCATCAAACAAAAAGGTACAAATTTATCCCAGTCATTTCTATGTTCAGACACAAAAGCAGTTAGCATATTGAGGATACTTCTGTTTGCTCTTTCTATAAAACCTCCACCTTGGGGACGGAATGGAGTATTTCGGGTCTTTTGAATTCCTAATAACTTACAAAGTTCTTGAAATAACTTTGATTCAAATTGGGAACCCTGATCTGTATGAATTGAGATGGGCACACCAAATCTTGAAATAATGTGTTCAACAAGGGCATTTGCAGCTGTAACAGTTTCAATATTCTGAAGGGGAATAGCCTCTGTCCATTTAGTGAAATAATCAGAAACAACCATCAAATATCGGTTGTCATTTTCTGTTTTACCTAATGGACCTACAAAATCTATTGCAATTCTCTCCCATCTTTCACCAGAATTAAATTTTTTCATAGGAGCTTTAAATTTCTTAGGGGGCATTTTTCTAGAAGCACATACTAAACATTTTTTACACCACATTTCTACATCCTTTCTTTGATTATACCAATAAAATCTTTGTCTGACCTTTTTCAAAGTTTTCTTAATCCCTAAATGACCACTTGTCACAGTATCATGTAACTGTGTCAAAACATACTTAGTAAGACATTTGGGTAAAACTAGTTGGAAATCAACTGTATTTCCATCATCACTCTCCCACTTTCTATACAAAATGTTTTCTTTGATGACTAAAGATTCCCATCTATACCAGAAATATTTTAATTCTACACTATGTTCAGAAACACTATTCCAGTCTGGTTTCTCATTTACTTTAAACCAGCTCAAAACATGTTTGATAATAGGGTCTGACTTCTGCAATTCAGCTACATATTCTAAGTTTAAATTTTCTACATCTATCTCATTTTGTACTTCTATCTCACATCCTGTACTAATCTTACTACTACTTGGTTTGCTATCAGCTTGTTTTCCAGTCAAGTCTTTGTCTATGCTTATATTTGTATGGTTATCTGTTCTACTATCTCTATTTGATGGACCAGGTAAACACTCTGTATCTTTAATATTCTTGTCAGATAATGATCTGACCTCTTTAGAATTTAAAGTATTACATTGTTTACTTGATTTTAATCCAATCTTCATGTCAGTTGTATTATAACTAACCCCGGTAGAAGATTGATATTTCACACTACAGTCACTACTCTGGATCGATGCTAAATTATTACCCAATTTTCTATCAACTATCACATCTTGACTAGACATTTCATTATTGTTGCAAGCGTTACTAACACAGATATCGTAAGACCTCTTTACTTGGTTAGCAACTACAGTTTTACTTTTTATCACACTATTTTCTACAGGAATAATTAATTTCTCTGTGGACACAAAAGTTGTCCTATTACACAAGTTGAAAAAAATATACAGTATAAACAACACTAGTACTAAAGGTACTTTCATTGCAATAAGCCCAAGAATAACTAATACAGAAAGAAAAGGTAGTTCAGGGCACACATAATCAGACTTTTCTGGTCCTTCGGGATCATTGATTCCAACACTATAAAGTGTTGAGAATTGAGTACCGCTCCTGCAATTCTTATGTTATTTTGTTGTGATTAATGCTTCCGAGGGATCACTTTGTTTCCGGAATTTTGTCATTAAATTTTGTCAACGGTTTGTTTGTCACATTAATATTTGTACTACTTGTACAAACTTCTGGTTTGATTTTAACCATATTTTGATCTACAGGTTGTTTTAACTTTTTGTCATGTTTAAGTGCTACTCTAGCAACTGTTAAATTATCATATCTGCTTTCTACTCTATCACAATGTACACAGTTCTCATCATAACATGGTCTCCTACTAAGTGCATCAGCATTGTTATGAACCCTACCAGGTCTATGTACAATTTCATAATCATAATTTTCTAGAATATTTATCCACCTACATAGTTGACCTTCTAGATTTTTGAAATTTGTTAACCATTTTAAACTGGCATGATCAGTTCTGATGGTAAACTTTCGACCATATAAGTAATGATGAAAGTGTTTTACTGTTGATATTGCACTAAAAAGTTCTTTACGTGTAGTACAATATCCTCGTTCTGATCTAGTAAAGCATTTGGAGTAATACGCTATAACCTTTTCCTGGCCATTTTGTATTTGTGACAAGACTCCGCCATACGCGAAATTACTCGCATCAGCGTCAACTATAAAATAATCATCTGAAGTAGGGAAAGCTAATATAGGACTACTGGTCAAAGCAGCTTTCAAGGTAACAAAGGCCTGTTCACATTCTGTGGTCCACACAAACTTGTGACCCTTTTCTGATAGTGCATGCAAAGGTTTTGCAATAGTTGAGAACCTAGGAATAAACTTTCGGTAAAATGAAACTAGAGAGGTAAAGCTTTTAACCTCCTTACATGTTCTTGGTCTTGGCCATTCTTGCACACTTTTAACTTTATCGGGACATGTTGAAATGCCATCTTCACTTATAACGTGACCTAAGAATGTAACCTGTTTTTGAAAGAGATGACACTTTTTTGGATGTAACTTTAAGCCAGCTTGTCTTAACCTGTCCATAACTTCTTGTAAACGTACAAGGGCTTGATCAAAAGTTTGTGCAAAGACAATAATGTCATCTAAATACAATACTAAAGTATTCCAAATAAGACCTTTGAATACCATTTGCATGAGCCTGGTGAATACACTAGGACTATTAGAAAGACCAAAGGCTAATTTACGAAACTGCCATTGCTGACCACCTTGCAAGCTAAATGCTGTTTTATGCCTACTTTCTTTATCAATATCGATCTGCCAAAAACCGATTTTAGGTCACAAACGGAGAACCATTTTGCAGATGATAATGCATCTAAATTATCTTCTATTCTAGGCAGAGGTTGATATTCTTTTACAGTGCAACGGTTAAGTTTTCGAAAATCACAGCAAAATCTGATACTGCCATCTGGTTTTGTTACCATAAGAATTGGGGATAGCCATGGGGAACATGCAGGTTCTATTATCCCATCCTCAACCATTTTCTTAATTTCAGCTTCTGCTGCTTTACGTTTTGCTAGTGGGACACGATAAGGATAGGTTTTTACAGGTTCATGATTACCAGTGTCTATTTTATGTGTAACTAAGTCAGTATGACCAATGTCTCTATCATTTTGTGAAAACACATCTTGATTCTTTATAAGAAACTGTTTTAACTTTCCTTTTTGTATATTATCGAGATGCACAGAAGACCTATCATAAACACTTTTTAAATGCTCAGGCAGAGTTGTACTACTTGCTGCCACCTTGGATACATTAGTGCTAACATTTCTCACAGATACAGGCTCATTTACAGTAACAGGTTCTAATACAGCAGTTACTGTATTTTCATAAATAGTATAAGGTTCACTATTGAAATTTGCAATTCTCATCGGAAAATGGCCATTTTTTGGACTAATTAAAGATTTTGCTACTAACAACCCTGATTTTTCAGCAAAACTTAAATTGGGTTCTATCAAACAATCCCTATCTCGACTCAAGCTGTCCAACGGTTTCCCTTCTACAATAACTTCAGTTTCAGGGGGAATAACTATGGTTTCAGTTACTGCTATTCTACAACAATTGACAGGTGCATCTTTCTGATTCATAAAACATGGGATTCTCTCCCCTTTCAGAGTAATGTACCCTTTACTCAACATTATATCACAATTGTGCTTAAACAGAAAATCTAATCCAATAATGGCAGGTTGCTTTATATCAGCAATCAAAAACTCGTGAAGTATTTTTTGTTTACCTATACATATTTCTATTTCTGCCTTTCCATGAAAAGGTGATGTTTCACCAGTAACCGTATGAAGTGAACATTGTACAGCTTCAATAACTGGTCTAGTTGAATAAGGCCAATTTTGAACATTTACATATTATGCTGACATTTGCACCACTATCAATAAGCATAGTCAAATCAAATTCATTTATAGTAGCAGAAAGAAAGTATCCATGGTCAGAACCTAAATTATTTAATGCAATTTGGGACCTTTTTGATTTGTCAAGCTGCGATCCCCCCAGCTGGACTTGTTTGAGTTTCCCTGGTAAGTTTGGTTAAACCTTTGTTGATCATTACTTCCAAAAGAATAATTATTGTTTTGATATCCTCTATTGTTTCTATTATTGCCGTAAAAACCATTATTATGAAATCGGTTTTCATTTCTGTGATATCTAGGTCTGTTTTCATTTTGACGCCTATTTCTATACTGATTTAAACTTTGGTTCGATAGTTGATTTCTATTACCCTGATTCTTGTGCCAACTACTAGGTTGTCTACTTTGACTACTTATCTGCTCTTGACCCATATTTGTTGATTTAGACACAGTATTTTCTTTGTCACTACTTACATTATCTACTGCACAGACAAACTTATTTCTATTTCGATCAGCTAACCTATGGGCTTCCATGCGCACTGCTATTTTTTCAGCTTCAGAAATAGTTTTTGGAGCAATTTCACGCAACCTTAAACGTATGTCAGAATCATTTAACGCATCTATAAAACTATCGAGTGACAAAGCCTCGACCACATCTTGGCTACCTGTGGGATAAGCTAGCCTAGTCATTTTTCTAATGGACTGAGCCATTTCTGGAATGGTCTCCCCTTTTCCACGAACACGACTCTTTAACTGGGTTCGAAATACCTCGGCTTTATTTTCTGTCCCATACCTTGCTTTTAGTTTTTCTTCTAATGTACAAAAAATCACGCCTACCGCTTTCACTCATTTCGCTTAAAAGTGACCGAGCCCCACCTGTTAAGCTACTTGCAAGATATAATGATTTCTGGGTATAGTCCCAACCATTTATTTCGGTAGTAATTTGAAACTGTGCAAGAAAATCTTGCAAGTCTTCATCTCCACTATAAGTTTGGGGTTTCATTTTCAAGTTATTTGTGCTTCTAGGTACTGACAAATTTGGGTAATTAGGTACAGTCTCATATACAGACGATCGAATATACGGCCCATTTTGAAGACAATTATTATTTTCTGCCTCATATAAGTTTTGTTCTTCAAAATTGTTAGAGTTCCCTGTCGCCCTATGATTAAATCTTATTTCTGGGTCAGGATGTTCTATTTCAGACAATTTCGACTTAACAGTACACAATTCATTTTCTACACTGTTCATTTGCTTTTGCAATTGTGAATTTACATTTTGAATAGTTTGACCCAAACAGGTAATCTTATGTATAATCTGTGACATTTGGCTTCCCATATAATTTTCAAGATCTTTTAACTGGGAGTTTTCATTTTCTACTGGTTGAATATCATGGTTAGGTGAGCAAACAGAACTATTCTCATTCATACTAGTATTAATACTAGACATATTTCTATCATTACTGACATTTTCATTGGACGAGACAATTCTTGAGGCATTACCTCCAAAATCATAAGCAGATGAATACTCGTCCATTTTACTATATTAAATATTGATAATATAAAAATCTCTGATACTTATAAAATTGTATATTAGTATAAAAATTAATTTACATTGTAATTCTTATCTATTTTCAGAAAGAAATATCAACACTGTCACTGATCCGGTCAACATAAAGAAATACACTGCTGTTTATTGTACAGTTCAATCAATAAATTAACTGATCAACTTACTGTTCATTTTCTGTAATCCAGAATTCATGGATATCGATATTTGGCGCTATTGTACCTTCCAATCACACACATCAAAAAAAAGTAAAATAAACCGGTCAAGATTTTAATCTATTTCTTATTTAGACCTACAAAAGATGGTGTCTCATTATCATTGGATTTCCAAACTTCAATTCTATAGATCTCTCGACAGATCCCACTTCTGACACCAGATGTTACGCCCCCTTAAAAGTGAGAAAAGGGTGTTAGCTTAAAGCTAGTCAGGATTTAAATATATGCCAGGCGTTAATAAGGGGAAAGTAACATGTGTGGGAGTTAGATTTGGTTCTACCTACTGAGAGATAAATAAGACATGTTCCAGTTCAATCTATGATTTTATTATTGGTTCATGATAGTTTATTCATGAAATATTCACATACAATAGAGTATTAGTTAATCTGGCTTTAACCAGATTGTTCTATAGTAAACAACTGAGCTTATTAGAGAAACATATATGTAGATCTAGTACTATAATATAATATCCGAGTTCCAAGTATATAGTTAATTATAGATTTACCAGATTGGGTCAAGTCAGAATCCGGTCAAGTTCCAGATTGGGTCAAATACCAGATTGGGTCAAGTTCTAAAAATGGGTTCAAGTTAAGTTTATAATACCAACTTTAGAGTTATATAAAATTGTATAAAGATCCCAGATCAGTGACAGGTTAAATGTTTATAATTATATTTGGGTACAAACCTCCTGATTGGAGTACATTTCTTACGACTGGTTGGTAAAGATCTTAATGCCCAACTGAGTATGATAGGTTAACCCAGTAGCTTAAATAGAATAGGAGCGCGCGACCCAGTACTTGTGACGTCACTCGCTACCCGAAGTACATCGTGTTGAACGGTGAAGACTACTTGGAACTCGTATATCTCAATAAATACAGAGAGTTAAAAGCTAAAATCGGTCTCAAAATGGAGCTAAAAATTAGTATGATCGACAGAAAACAAAAATACAGGTTGTAAATCAGTATTATTCGTGAAAACATCGATAAAGCTTGGACTAGATCGGGATCATGAGACGCTTGACGAGACGGGCAAACAATTCCATAAAAAAAAAGCGTCCCGTGACTTTGTAAGACACAATACACAATTTGACATGTTCATAGCAATATCAAATTAGAAAGCGCACATATTCTCTATTCGAACAGCATTGATAATGGACTACATGAGGGAATACCATTGAAAAACGCAACTGATTAACAGAGAATAAGAGAATTTGAACTGTACGAGCTCGGACAATTCTTCAGAATAAGTGATCCAATATACTTTCAATGGCAACTAAAATAGAACAATAGAAGTATTCTGAATTTTACAATTTGTTATATAGAAAAAATGTTGCCACACATCTATGGATTGAATAAAAATATCTTGATAATGTGAGTTTGCCTCGGACACGAGTAAAATTGAATAACAAACAATGCCAATGAGGACAGTTAATGTAAATCTTTTCATATTTAATTTAGCAATTTTGAAGAGTTGTCTAATCTCCGTTTAATACTTATAAGTAAATGCAGTTTTTTATAATATTGTCTGAATTTATTGACTTGTCAAATATGAATACATCATAGCACTCATCAAAATATTCGATACCACTTCGGTTCTGTCCGTATATATTACGGGAATTAATTTGGAGTATATGACTAATGTTTTGAAAAGTCACTCTATCTGAATGTTTATGTTCTGGTTTTATCCGCAATAGCTCAGTCGGTTGAGTGATTTCTTCATATATTAGAGGTCTACGGTTCGATCCATACTTTTGCAATTGTTTTTAGACCCATTCTTTCTTTATTTTTGAAGTATGTTTTATTGAATATGGCTTGCAAAATAGTCTAAACGAATATGGAACAACTTAGAACCACAGTTTTGTTTGTTTTGCATTGAATTTTATGGCATTGAAATGAAATATATTGATTTAAATTTTAATTCTTAAACCATGCTTCTTAAAAAAGTGTATTGTCTTTGCCAAAATAATTGCAAAACATATAAAAACAAAACGACAACATAAAAAATCACTCATGCCTTTAAAAATGTGGAAAATATAAATTAAAATCATAGACAAAAGCGGTCTAGATCTTACAACAGGTGGGAAATTTTGAAGTTACAAACCGGTAGTTTACCCTATTGCGCTATAACGGTAAGTATAGCTATTTCATAGAAACAAATTAAATTTGATTAAATCTTACTGAGTACATCTCACGCAGTTTACCGATCAATTATCGAAGATTAATATATTGTGTGCATTGACCGTGTAATCAGAATGCAATTGACAGGTTAATAAAATCAAACAATAACAGTAAAATGTAAACATTAAAGTAGCATTTAAACTATATTGTTTTCCACTTATGGTGATTTATTGGATGAATAGTTGGAAATTACAATAACTTTTTAAATACATAAATTAAGTTATAAATTACAACATTTTAGAATGTTATTTATTGACAGAAAATTGAAATAATTACTGTATTTTAAGACATAAAAGCAATAAATCATATAGTGAATAGGTCGTTCATTACATCTTCGTACTTTGTTATAATTTCTGCAATATTTTAAATATATTAAGAATTAAAAGTAAAGTACATGCATCTTGCTTATACTGTGTACTTATTTATAAGAAGTTTTAATACTTGAAAGGTTTTGAAATGATTACTAGTTGATTTTTGCTTCGTACAGAAATATTTGTACCAAATAACAATCGACTTGTTTTCATTTATTGTTATCTAGCGGTATATGTTAAGAATAAATCGGGATACATAGTTGAGAATTCATGATGTCACCGAAGAACAGATGAAGATAAATGTTATTTGATTTTTATTTAATAAACGAAGAAAACATAATAAAATATTCAAGAAGCTGTCACCCTTAGTTTCATGCGTTTTGTTCTATAGACAGGTACTTCCAGCATTCTTTGCTAACTCATAATATCACTGACTCCTAATTATACATTTCGTTGTTATCATGCTTATATTATATAGCAGAACATAAATACAATATAGATTTAAATGAAATATTAGCACAAAGCGCCCTGCAACACTTTAGTAACAGGAATATAAAAAAAACAAAAGTTAATTTTAAAACACAATCATTTATTTTAATTATTACAAGCAAGATATACCTTACAGAAACATTAATTTATGCTTTTATTTCATTATTGTGTTGTTTTACTATTATATGAACATACATCCATGCTAATAGCTTTTGTAACCAATACTTTGATAAACTTGAGTGCAAACATATATTTGTATGAATGATATTGTTTTGCAGTAAACAATTGATAAAGATGCAATTAAATGATGAGTATGATTGTTATATGCTTGTCTAGTATGTCATTTGCACACCACATTACTTACTAATTTTGTTTGCACTGTGTTTATAAGTGCGTCATTATGTGTTTTTATGAGGTTAATACAATCCTTTTCAATATGTTCCTCATTCATTTATTAAATAACTAAACCTAAATTGCTTCTTTCAAGGGGGAAACAGGCAAAATTTTCATTTTTTAGTTTTGAATTTTTCATTCATTATTCTGTAATAAAGACACTAGACTATCACAGAAACAAACCGTTTCCCCTCATAAAGCATAAAATGGTGGTTTCCAAACTTGATCCACGTCGATCAGGTTAGAGCGTCAAGATTACAAATTGTCACAGTGAACGCTGTAATTGTTAAAGTACATGTCAAACGAATGACTTGCACTTGTTTAAATCATACAATATCCACAATATCTGTTATTGTAACTTCCAGGGTTTGTTTAAGTCATATGACTTGTTTTAAACACACTCGGTGATTCTGTCGGCATCTAAATTTCATTCAACATATATAAATAAATAAATTCACGCTTCAAACCCAAAATTGGGCGTCCGTGGCCGAATGGTCGTTGAATTCAAACCACTTGCCCCTCACCGTTGTGGGTTCGAATCCCGACAGGGACTTTGGATTCTTCCATATGAGGAAGCTATTCAGCTAGCGTACGGAACGTCGGTGGTTCTACTCAGGTGCCCGTTCGTGCCTGAAATAATGCAAGGAAAGGCACCTGATGTCTTCCTTCACCAGTAAAGCTGGAACGTCGCGATATGACCTATACTATGTCGATGTGACGTAAAAACCCAAACAAACAAATAAACCCAAAATATATCATGTACACGTATACAGATTCGTCATTCTGAGATTTTGAAATAAATGTCCTTTTTGCGTGAATTGAGTACAGAAAATATTTTCAATATTTTTGTCATTAATTTGCCTGAGTATCCCTTTAATGTGAAATAGTTTCTAGCATTTAAAACTGTTCAATAGAATTTCTTTAAACTTGGCATGTTGTTAGAATATGATATCAGAAATATTTTAAACGAAAAAAAAATTGGGGTCACCGTCCCCATTTTCGAGTTATCTGCCCTTGAATTGGACTTTTTCGTTAAATTCAAAGGCGGATAATTTACAATGAAGGGAAACGATACATTTTTTTCTTATTATCATGAAGCTTACCTTCGTTTTAGTCGATATGCAAAATTTCAAGAACAAATTTAGAGTGGATGGGTTTTTCTTTCCACTTCTTCTTTTAACCTGTGCATGTTTTCGTAAAAAAATGGCCTATTTTTTAAAAATTTAAAGTACCTTAATTTTCATTGAAAAAAAAAATATAAGAGACACGATTTAAGGAATTGCCTGTTATTATGTATTGTACTCAACAATAAAAAGAAAAACATTATGCAGAGTTAAAAACAAAAATACACTTAAGTATGTGTAAGTTATCTGCTCTTGAAATGACCTCAAATAAATAGAAAATTCTGATTCAGGAGCAGATAACTCAAAAATGAGAACGGTGACCCCAATTTTTTTTTCGTTTAAATTGTTTTTGTTATCATGTTCTAACAACATGCCAAGTTTAAAGAAAGTCTATTGAACAAGTTTTAATTTTGCCTATATGTCTAACTGAAAACTCCCGAAAACGTCCTTAAACAGCTTTTCTCAGACTGGACAAATAACCAGTAAATGCCATGTTACCGACGACCTATTCTACATTTAGGGAGAGACAATATACCAATTGGCTCAACGTCAGAAGTATATTAACGTGCAAAAACGGAATCACTGTTTGATTCAATGGTATAAAGATTGTAATTGTAATTAAGAGCAGCATACATTTCCGATTAAGTGCCAGTGTCAAATATTGCAAGCCAATACGATCCAACTTCAGCGATTCAAAAAAATTGAGCGATCGAAATAAGAAGATTCATTTTTACAATTTGAAAGTTATATTGTCATGTTTCGCCCAACTAAATAGATAAAAGATATAAATTAATACATTGTAAATATATATTCTTCAATCGTCGTGAAAGAAATTAGTTCTGGTAAAGACGGTCTTACGTATACAAATAAACAGCAAACTTTATCATCATATACAAACATATTGAAGCAGTGTTGAAAATGTTGAATTAGGTGACCATTAATGTTTCCTGTTCCTCAACCGGGTTACAATGTCCAAGTAATTTGACGTAAAATATTTCGGCATTCAATATTAATTAAGTTATCTAGGCAAAACATAATTTAGTACACCACAACACTAAAATTGTGACGAAAAACAGAACAGATATTGTTTTGATAAAATGAAACAGTTACTTATATGTAAATAGCGTGACAATGCAATTTTCCATAGGACTAGATATATTTACATGAACATTTTTAGTTGAAAATGTTTATCGTATTCAGTAATGTAACACGTCTTGCAGTTTTTAGTCTCTTTATAATATACTGTAATAATGTTTTGACATAATCATTAAAGACAGGCGAGTTAACAATTTGATACATATTTCATTACGTACATTGTAAAATGAATTCTTAATTTGTCAATTTAATATCGCAAAAAAACGTTGCAAATTATGGCCAGAAATCTACATAGAAAATGTGTTTCCATTCGTTAACTGTTACAGAACATAAAAAATAATATTACTTAAAATACAAAATTATATCATCTTTGGTACTTAAATGTCCATTTATTATAATAAGCAGAAAAATATGAATAATTATACATGTACAGGTTGACACAGACCCATATTTTAATTGTTTAACAATCGTAGCTTTGTTCGTCAGTTAATAAACACGATGACTTTTAGAAAT